TTGGGGGCTTACCAAGTTGCATGGGGATAAAAAGTTTGAAGCTAATGGGTAGGACTAACAAGAAGAAGGGTAAACATTTAATTGGCAGCAAGTAGGAGGATTACAGGTACCGGGGCTCATTGGTAGAGGGCTACTCCTAAAGGAGAGGCCACAAGTAGAATTAAGGCTAGGGGGCACAGTAATCAGGGGGTTATCAGGTAGTGGGCTAAAAACTAGGCAACTAACGGGTAAAAGGCTCATTGCAAGTGTGACCTCCAGTTGTAGAGTGTGACCTCGCGTTTTAGAATGTGAATGTTATCTCCAGTTGTAAAGGGTGACTTCCCATTGTTAAGTGTGACCTCTCGTTGTAGAGTGTGACCTCCAGTTGTAGAGTGTGACCTCCAGTTGTAGAGTGTGACTTCCAGTTGTAGAGTGTGACCTCCAGTTGTAGAGTGTGACTTCCAGTTGTAAAGTGTGACTTCCTGTTGTAAAATTTGACCTCCTGTTGTAAAGTTTGACCTCCTGTTGAAGGGTGTACCTTCTGGTTATAAAGTGTCACCTCCTGTGTCAAAGTGTGACCCATCAATTTAGATTGTAAAGTGTGATGTCCCATTGTAAAGTGTGATCTCCCGTTGTAAAGTGTGATGTCCCATTGTAAAGTGTGATGTCCCGTTGTAAAGTGTGATCTCCCGTTGTAAAGTGTGATGTCCAATTGTAAAGTGTGATGTCCCATTGTAAAGTGTGATTTCCCGTTGTAAAGTGTGATCTCCTGTTGTAAAGTGTGATGTCCCGTTGTAAAGTGTGATCTCCCGTTGTAAAGTGTGATGTCCCGTTGTAAAGTGTGATGTCCCATTGTAAAGTGTGATCTCCTATTGTAAAGTGTGATGTCCCATTGTAAAGTGTGATCTCCCGTTGGAAAGTGTGATGTCCCGTTGTAAAGTGTGATGTCCCATTGTAAAGTGTGATTTCCCGTTGTAAAGTGTGATCTCCTGTTGTAAAGTGTGATGTCTATTGTAAAGTGTGATGTCCCGTTGTAAAGTGTGATCTCCCGTTGTAAAGTGTGATGTCCCGTTGTAAAGTGTGATGTCACATTGTAAAGTGTGATGTCCCATTGTAAAGTGTGATTTCCCGTTGTAAAGTGTGATGTCCCATTGTAAAGTGTGATCTCGTGTTGTAAAGTGTGATGTCTATTGTAAAGTGTGATGTCCCGTTGTAAAGTGTGATCTCCCGTTGTAAAGTGTGATGTCCCGTTGGAAAGTGTGATGTCCCATTGTAAAGTGTGATGTCCCATTGTAAAGGGTGATGTCCCATTGTAAAGTGTGATCTCCTGTTTTAAAGTGTGATGTCCCATTGTAAAGTGTGATCTCCCGTTGTAAAGTGTGATGTCCCATTGTAAAGTGTGATCTCCTGTTTTAAAGTGTGATGTCCCATTGTAAAGTGTGATCTCCCGTTGGAAAGTGTGATGTCCCGTTGTAAAGTGTGATGTCACATTGTAAAGTGTGATGTCCCATTGTAAAGTGTAATCTCCCATTGTAAAGTGTGATGTCTATTGTAAAGTGTGATGTCCCGTTGTAAAGTGTGATCTCCCGTTGTAAAGTGTGATGTCCCATTGTAAAGTGTGATTTCCCGTTGTAAAGTGTGATGTCCCATTGTAAAGTGTGATCTCCTGTTGTAAAGGGTGATGTCCCATTGTAAAGTGTGATCTCCTGTTTTAAAGTGTGATGTCCCATTGTAAAGTGTGATGTACCATTGTAAAGTGTGATCTCCTGTTGTAAAGTGTGATCTCCTGTTGTAAAGTGTGATCTCCTGTTGTAAAGTGTGACCTCTCGTTTTAAAGTGTCACCCCTTGGTGTAAAGTGTGACCTTCTGTTTCAATTTCAATTTCATAAAATTTTATTGTCAAAGAACAAATGGATTGGGCAGCAGGCATAGCCTATGTAAGCCCTCTCCAAACCTAATAGTAACAAACAGTGGTACAAAGACATTAGAACACATACAAACACATATAAACAAGTTGGTATTATCAAATTAATAATCAAATTTGGGGAAATAACTACTAACACCAATTTTATCATAATTGAATCTTACGGTTTTAAATTCTAACCTTTATTTTGATACCGAAAAGACATAATATATATATATATATATATAATCCGCCTGAAGAAGCCTTAGAAGGCAGTAAGGCCTAGAGGACGATCTGAATGATGTTTGTTTTTATTCTATATTTTCCTTCGCAAGGACTTTTTGTATGTATTATCTACTACATATATATGGGGCAAAGAAGTAATTCCAACAGTGTGGTATATATACCTATTATAAAGAGAAAGGAAAATTAATTTGTTGATTGAGCTGCATGTATAAAAAAAAATGATGGGATTAAATTACCGTACCCAACAGATACAGGCCAAAAAGTCCATTGTATCACACAAGGCCATCCACTGATGAGTTTGGAAATTCAATCCCACCAAATAGTTTAGTTTAAGCATATTAAACACAGGTTAGATATATAATCAACATGTTGTAAAGCTTCATATTCTTATTTATGTAGTTGTTTCCAAATATTTTCTTACAAATGAACGAGTACAAAAAAACAATTTATCACAGTTATAATATAAAAGTTTTAAGTTTCAAATTTCCATAAAACGTTTAACTGATTAGCCTCTACCCAGGACGGCCCATAAAAACAACTCATTTCCAATGGGGTCCTTAGACCACACTTCAAAACATTTTTTTCACAATTTGTTAAATAACATCACAAATAAAAAAGGCAACTTACACAATATAACAATCAATTGTAGCTGTTCAGTGGTTACTGGAACACAAGTAGGATTCATTGTAAAACATGGGAACACATATGATGTGCAAATATAGATTGCTTATGTTCTGAACATCGCAGGTTTCCCAAAATAAATATTCAGTGAGGTTAATTGAAAGTATTCGAAATATTGAAAAAAATGGCTCTTTTGTAGAAATGCGTCCTCGTTGCAAAGCCTGGTAACATTTCTCACCATAATTATAAGAATAGCTAAAAATTCTTCAGGTAATATTTTTTTCAGTTCGAGTTACTTCCCTTGCATTGCACACCCGTTAAGCTAAACCCGTTTGCATTGTCCTGAGAATGTAGTAAAATTTAGATTCATACATGATAGTGGTTTATTCCAGCCACCACGTTTGCATCGAATTTGTAATGTATATCAATAAAAGTTATATAAGCATAAAGATTATAAAATTATCTTGTCTTAAGTGGTTACCGAACAAAAATCGGTTCTGTAACTAATAACGAGTTATGGGTCAAGAAAGACGGAAGTTTACGAGAAAGTTATATATTTTTTTCATTATTTTTCACACGACTTCGATTCATTCCGGCCACCACTTTTGCGATCAATATGTAAGGTGTGATATCATCTTAAAAAGTGCTAAATTCCCATGGCCAGAGTGGTCTCCCAACAAATATCGGTTCAGTATTATTAGAGATGTGAGTATTTATTTTAACGAATACTGTTGAAATATTGCCATTTTTATTTCATAGTGGTTTATTCCGGCCACCACTTTCACTTCTTATTTATTACATAATGATCTGTGCTATCCAGTTAATATACTATGTCATATTTTTTTGCGTATTAACCCATGTAATATGGCCTATCAGCCCTGTGATTGGTTGAAAGTTTCAATTGTTTCAATTGTGACGTCGCGCCTAGGACAAGTATATGACGTCATAGTCTTCCGCACTGGAGTCAAAATGGCGACGTTTTACATTTCAAGGTTGCATGAAGATTGTCGTTTTACACGAATAAATGCCTCAAATCTTGATTATGTGAAAAAAATGATCTTACACTCGTTTTCATTTCATATGATATTTATGAAATTAACACACAGTCACGAATTTTTCATTTTAACTCGCCAGAGGCTCGCTAAATTGAAAATTTCTAAACTCGTTTCATAAATCTCATATGAAATGGCCTATTTCGTCTTTGCATATTGCAGAGTTATCTTCTCTTGGGAGCAGGGATTGATTGTTACGTCACTTGTTTGTGAGAGTAACGTCATCAATTTTTGAGAAAACGACGTAATTTTCTCACACAAACCAATGACGTAACAATGAATACATGCTCCCAAGAGAAGATAACTCTGCAATACGCAAAGACGGAATATGGAAACTCATGTAAATATGAGAAAATATACACGGTGATTCTTATCTCTGTGGAACATAAACTGCAATGTCATCCCTGAATTTATGAATAAAGTATTTGTTGTGATGAGTCAGAGACGTATAATACATGTATTATACGTCTCTGGATGAGTGTATAAGTGTGACTTTACGTGTTTAAGTGTGTCTTTACGTGTTTAAGTGTGACAATGTCAGAATATACAAAGACAATTCAAAATCTTTTAAAAATGAATCAACGCATATACTTTTTAGCGTCTAACATACAAGACACCAGACTTTTGATTTAATGTCGCATATTTGAAACGTTCTTGCGACAAACATGAAGTATAATAACCATCACATGCAGGTTATTATAAAGACTAGTTTTAAAAATGACAAACAAATATCACAGAGGCAATTTAACAAGTAAAATAAGACACAAGAGCAAAGCAGCACATACATAATCACAGAAAGGTAGCATAATAATTTCAATTTATAAAACTAGGATTAAGTACTGAAAACTTGTATGCCACACAAGTATTTCTAATTAAGGGTTAAAGCACCATTACATAGTAAAACCACGGACTTAGATAATCTAATTCCGTGGTAAAAACGTAAAAATTGACAGGATATACATTAATACAGTGTGATTTATAAGGGACATTGAACTAACATGGTCCGGCAGAATGAAACATTGTTTATGTCAAAAAGATAATACAGAGGACTGCTACACTAACGCTTACTGATACGTACAATTAAAAATTTGGGACTTCTTCAAAACCAATTTTTTTTAGCATAAGTTTAAGGCCCACGTTGTCTACAATTTATCTCCGCTTTACTCTTATCCCAGATTCGTAATAATATAAGCGTTAAGGAGACACTGACTTGCAACTACCTGCTAGCGTCCAGCAACAACTTGGTACATGTTTGACCACATCTGCTATTTTCAATGGTTCTATGTTCAACTGATGGCATCCCTCTGCCCTAATTAACAATTAAGTAATTCAAACCAGGTACATAATTTTAGCTTTATATTTTTGACGCTTCTATGGGTTAAATGTTTCGTCATAGGTTTCCGCGCGTTATATATTTCCGCGACGCCATTTTATTAACATGTTTCTTGTGATCTGGGCCCCATTTGCGTACCCGGTTTGTCTGTTCTAAATTGTAACTGTTTCGGTAAAAATCCTTCCAGACCTGTAAATGTTTATGCGGGCCTTGCAAGGCTTTGTTAAAAAACATTACAAACATTTTCCAACTTCCACTTGCCGGAAGTACCCATCATATGTTTCCGTGCGGCGAATTAGATCTATAGGTGTTCAAAGAAAGACCCTCAAATAGGCCTACACTAAGAAGAAATTATCTTTGGTGGCCAGCACAGACTAATGCTTCGCTGGTAATTTCAGTTATGTTCTTTTATCACCAAATATAATTATGAAGTGAAGTTTTTCTAAGTTGTACATTTTGCATTGATTTTCCAACTTAAACTAACACATTTTTTAATTCAATATATTTATTCATATTTCATTAGGCTATCAATTTTTCTTTTTTTGTGTAATCATATGTTGCATTGGTTTGGTTTGAAATTCACAGCAAAACAACATTTTATATTTTATCAAGCAGTGTTTACCAATACAGGTATGACAATATAAATGTTACCTTAATTCGTGCTTTGGCAAAACTAAGTGAGGAGGTGTTGCCTCATTTGCATATGATGCCCTTGTACATTAATTTGACAGACTGCAAAAAAGATTGGGTCAGGAATGAATCACTTGTCTTTCTTTAAACACTGAATCAAATTTGCTGCACTTAAACATATGAAGCTACTTCCAATAGGTGAAATTTGTTGACAGATGTTTGTTGGTATTTAAAATAATGCTGCTTTCAGTTAGCTGTTTTTCGTTTTAATAAGAAGATGGAATACGTTGTTATCAACAGTCCTCTTGTTATTTCAATGGTTTTCTGTGGATATGAGTATGAGATCATGTATGCTTCTTAAGAGCGTGGAAACCGATGACACAAGGATCGATATACATGTACAACCCTATTTAGACCGTCACAGCGGAACATTACGACAACTTATCTTCCTGCATATCCCTCCTCCTATAATTCACACTCAACGAATTGTCTGTACTATGCTGTTTTTGAAGACAGCACATGTTTGAGTGCATCACTTTCCAAGGCACACTAGTGACTCGAGATCTGTACTTGTGTAACAGGAAAGAGAGCAGTGTGCTTCCACCAGGGATCAAACTCGGGACCAGGAACTTTCTAGTCGGACGCTCTACCACTGAGCTAAAATAAATTTCCTCTAGTTCAAAGCTAGAAGGCAACTGTAATCTATTGACCAATTAATATCTGTCACACTACTCCCTCCTTTTTAAATGAGCTTCCCCCTCGAAGACCACAACAACCCTGGTTATAACTCCCTATCACCTCAGGAAGGGCAACCGACACCATTTGTAACAGGAGAGGAAATATGCACAACCAGACTGGGGCCCTCTGAACTCTGCAACTAGTAATCTACTATCAACCCAGTCCAGTATCGTTACACTTGTAACAAAAGTTGGTCACAACAAAGGTCTGGCCCTGCATTCCCCCCCCCCCCCCATGTTACATGTACATTTGGTGCTTGTGACCAACCCTTGTAAAGTATTGGGTACATGCTTGGTGAGGGGATGTCTGAACCTTGGGTGTAAATAATATTTCTTCTGGGGTGAGGACCTAGATATAAAGGAGGGAGACCTGTATGTAGCGGAACTGGACAGGGTTGTTTGCTAGAGACCATATATATTTGTAGTTCAATTGGTTGGAGCGTCAGTCTCGAGTTTTGATAGTCCTGGATTCCAACCCTGCTCTGGTTATACATTATTCCTCTCCAGTTACAGCAGCACCACTAATGGTGTAAAAGTCTCTAGTTTTGATAGTCCTGGATTCCAACCCTGCTCTGGTTATACATTATTCCTCTCCTGTTACAGCAGCACCACTAATGGTGTAAAAGGGAAATTCAACATAAATGGCCAGACCATGTTTCAAATTTTGATTTATTATGAAAAAATCTATTTTAGTCGGCCTTTTTCAGATGGAGAAAAATGACTAATACCGGTACTTTTTAATTTGTAGAAAGGTGTTACTTCTGCTGGTTGTGTTTCTGAGTGGCCATTTTTGATGAATACACATTGCCTGCACATTGAAAAAAACTATGTTCAGAGTTTGTCTATTCAAGGTAAGAATATTAATTTTCTTTTTGACCTAGTCTGGTTTGTACAAGCAAATGAGGCAACACCTCTTCATCAACATTTTTTAAGGTTAATGGAGCCACTGAGCATTTTATTCCTGAGAAAGAGTTCCATTTCAGTAGTGCGAACTGTTGTTTTTTCAGCTTGGAGTATAGGCTCTCTAATGTATAGTAGACTATTGATAAGCAACAGCAAAAACTTCTAGTTTAAAGTTACTTCCCTTGTCCATTTATTCAGCTTTCATTCAATGCAGTGCTTTATAATTTATAGTAATTTTGGTTAAGTGTAGGATTTAAAGTGTACAGGTCCTGATATGATTTGTATGGAATAGTTCTTTAGAGAAAACAATTTTCATGATAGTGACAAATACAATAATATGATTGAACTTGACGGTACTCTTAAAAAAACGTGAGAAAAATAACAATCACACAAATTAAAAACAAACAAGTATTACATTGTATTAAACAATAAATGAATATCTAACGAGCAGATTGAAAATCAGTGTAAATTATGAGAAAAAAAATAGTTTTGATGATAAATTTTAATTACAAACTTATTTTATGTGCTTTAAAAATTGAATTTCAGAAGCCTTTAAAAAGAACCTACAGACAGTATACACCGGAGGCCTTACTTAATGCTTATAAAGAGGTAACAGAGAAAGGCATATCTGTTAGGAAAGCTGCTAGATTATTCGGTGTGCCGGAAGTAACACTTCGTATGAGGGTCACAGGTGCAGTGGACACTGATACAGTCAAATCTGGTCCAAGTCCTCTCTTTTCTACAGAACAGGAGCAAAGGTTAATTGATCATGTTGAAGTATTAACTAGAGTTGGCTTTGTTTATACTAGAATTGAACTATGTAATCTTGCAACGGAATATGCTGTAAGTCTTGGTCTTCGACAGGAAGAAAATCCTCTATCTCTGCAATGGTTACGGAGTTTCATTTCCAGGTGGCCAAATTGGGCTGTAAAAAAACCCAGGACCCTTTCTATGGCCAGAACTAAGGCAACATCTGATGAAAGTGTCAAGGCCTATTATGAAGAACTGGGGAAAGTACTTGAAAAGCATGGTCTGCAAGACAAGCCGAAGAACATCTATTATGTTGATGAAAAAGGCATATCTGATAATCATTGTCCATCAAGAACTGTGGCTGATAATGATAAAAGGCCAGCCTCCGACACTGGTGCCAGTGACACGGCCTACACAGTGACAGTTTTAGGTGCGGGCAATGCCACTGGTACCGCTATTCCAGCTTATTTCGTATTTCCTGGTGCTCGAATGAGAAAGGATTTGCTGGATGGATCAACCGCTGGAGTTTCCGGGACTGTGAGTAAGAATGGTTGTTCGAACAGTAGAATATTTCGCCAGTATCTTGAAACCCATTTTTTGAAACATGCACAAAGACGTGATAGCACAGAACCACTTCTGCTTTTGTATGACGGGTACAGATGTCATCTTTCTGTGGGTATAATCGAATGGGCAAAACAACAGAACATCATCTTGTTTGTATTGCCGGCCCATACAAGCCATATTCTACAACCCAGGGACACAGGCTGTGTGGAAGCTTTCCAAACAAAATATGACGATTTGCGCGAAAAATTCATGAAGGAAAAATCTGTATCCATGATATCTAAGCATGCAACTTGTGAACTAGCATGCAAAGCATATAACCATGGTTTGTTACCAGCAAATCTGCGTTCATCATTCAAGAACTGTGGAGTTTACCCTTTTGATCCAGCCACCATTAAAAAGCTGTCCTTTGCATCAGATTAAAGCTACCATTGAGATACTGGCTCCATTTCTGTACATGATGATCCTGAAAGTGAAAGATGCTCTTTCTAGCACAGAAAGTGCAGGTCAGGAGACCTGATACATTACCGTAATAGTCCATGTGAAGCTGTTACTCAAAGTCAGGGGAGTAAAGAAGAGTAATAATGTTTTTGACTTAATAGTGTAAATATGTTTTATAAATCACTCGCAAGAAAAAAAAATGGTTTCATGTCTGCTTTTCTGTGTACATGTATCTAATATATCTGTGTACATGTATCTCATATATCTGCTCCAAAACCATATTTTGATTTTTTTTACTTTTGAATTAAAATAGGCCATTACAGGAGATCACTCATGTTTTTTCTTTCACTCCTTTCACATGTAAGATGGAGCTGTTTAGGTCATGGAAAGTGGAAATTTTATTTAATATCCCATTTCATATGTGTGATGGTACAATGGGACAGCATCGACATGCTATCATGAAATAAAATGGTTGTCTTCATCTGGAAAATATCGTAGAGATGTAATTATAAACTAGAAATATAATTTCTTTTTTATTTTTGAAAATTTTACTTATCGAAATGCTTTTTCATGATTTCTGTACTAATTCTGGCAATTGGAGTGAAACAAAAAGTCTTTTTCAAGTGCTTTAATATCGATGACTCCATGGAATAGATAGTCCCATTTTTTTCCTCCTGAGTACAGGCTATTAAAAGTCATTATTATGTTAGATTAACGTGTTTCCTTTATATTCATATAGAAGTGATTATAGATTTTTGGACTTGGATTTTGGATTGTTAGAACGTTTGAATTTATCACAGTAATATTGCAGAAAAAGTAGGACCATTGTAAATCTTATGACTGGAGAAGCTGCCTGCTTTGTAATCTACATATAATCTAGATATTTGCCCAGTGCTAATTACGCTCTTCACAATTTATTACTATGCATATTGATGTATACTAATGCTTTCTGTATTCATAGATTCACTCTCAATATGGCAAACAACATTTCCGGGTATACAGTCAATTTTACTATAATACACGTGCACTCCTATGAATATACAATGTACAGGAAAAATATTGCTGTAGTCCTGATATATGTATATTCACTGGGATACCATACCATACTGGGAATATCCTTAAGCCTATTTTGTCTTTGCATATTGTAGAGTTATCTGCTCTTGTGAGCAGGTATTGATTGTTACGTTATTTGTTTGTGAGAGTAACGTCATCAATTTTTGAGAAAACAACGTAATTTTTCTGCCCCAGACCAATGACGTAACAATCAATACCTGCTCACAAGAGAAGATAACTCTGCAATGCGTAAAGACGGAATAAGTGTGCTTGGGTGGCTGATAAGGCCCCTGTACCTCTGATTGTTTTTTCCCTTAAATGTTAGTGCAGAAACGACATAAAAGTAACAATACATGACTTAAATGGCCTTAAGCAACAAGTTTTCAGTAATATATGCGAGCAGCTTTGCATTGAATGTACCGAAAAAATCTCTGGGCTGACAACAGTGAAGTCTTAGGTAAAGTATCAAGACTTGTTCCTGTAAATATTGTATTTAGCTCACCTGGTCCATAGGACCATCCTGAGCTTATGCCAAACCGCAGCATCAGTCATCCGTCCGTCCGTCCATCAACTTTTCCTTTAAAACGCTACTTGTCATGAACGACTGAGCAGATTTTGACCAAATTTGGTCAAAAGCATCCTTGGGGGAAGGGGAACAAATGATGTATAAATGGTGGGTCTGGCCCCCCTGGGGGCTGAGGGGCGGGGCCCAATAGGGGAAATATAGCAAATTCTTTAAAATCCTTCTTCTTCTGTAGGAATGAAAGGATTTGTTCCATATTTGGTCTAAAGCATCCTTGGGAGAAGGGAAACCAATTTTGTATAAACCATTGGTGTGGCCCCCCAGGGGCCTGAGGGGTGGGGCCAAATAGGGGAAACATAGCAAATTATTCTTTAAAATCCTCCTTCTTCCGTAGGAATAAAAGGAGTTTGTCCATATTTAGTTTGAAGCATCCTTGGGTAAAGGGGAACCAATTTTGTATAAACTGTGGGTGTGGTCCCTGCAAGGGCCTGAGGGGCGGGGTTCAAAAGGGGAAACAGCAAATTATTCTTTAAAATCCTTCTTCTTTTGTAGGAATGAAAAGGATTTGTTCCATATTTGGTCAGAAGCGTCCTTGGGTGAAGGGGAACCAATTTTGTATAAATCGTGGGTGTGACCCCCCTGGGGGCTGAGGGGCGGGGCCCAACAGGGGAAATATAGCAAATTATTCTTTAAAATCCTTCTTCCTCTGTAGGAATAAAAGGAGTTGGTCCATATTTGGTGTGGAGCATCCATGGGTAAAAGGGACCCAATTTTGTATAAACGGTGGGTCTGGTCCCCCTGGGGGCTGAGGGGTGGGGCCCAATAGGGGAAATATAGCAAATTCTTTAAAATCCTTCTTCTTCTGTAGGAATAAAAGGATTTGTTTTGAAGCATCCTTGGGTGAAGGGGAACCATTTTTGTATAAACCGTGGGTCTGGCCCCCCAGGGGCCTGAGAGACGGGGCCCAATAGCTATAGGGGAAACATAGCAAATTATTCTTTAAAATTCTTCTTCTGTAGGAATGAAAGGATTTGGTCCATATTTGGTGTGGAGCATCCTTGGGTAAAGGAGAACCAATTTTGTATAAACAGTTGGTGTGGCCCCCCCTGGGACTTGAAGGGCGGGGCCCAATAGAGGAAATATAGGTAAAACCTTTATAATCCTTCTTCTACCATAGGGATTAACGGATATTATCCTAATTTAGTCTGGAGCAGTCTGAGCCCTCTGGATGCAGAGAGGCGGGGCCCAATAGGGGAAATCGAGGTAAAACCTTTAAAATCCTTTTTCTACCATAAAGATTAAGGGATTTTATCCTAATTTGGTCTGGAGCATCGATGGGCCAAGGGGACTCAATTTTGTATACGCAGTGGGTGTGGTCTCCCAAGGGGCAGAAGGGCGGGGCCTAATAGGAGAAATAGAGGTAAAACCTTTAAAATCCTTATTCGACCATCAGGATTTTATCCTTATTTAGTCTGGAGCATCCTTGGGTCAGAGGGACTCAATTTTGTATAATTGGTGGGTATGACCCCCCCTAGGGTTGGGGCTCTGTTTGTAGTTTGTTCTCACTATATCTCAAGTTCTGTATGGATCTTTCTGAAATTTCATATGTACTTACAGCACCTACTTCATACCAATTATTTTAAACATATTTAGGTGAGCGATACAGGCCCTTTGGGCCTCTTGTTTATGGAGAATATTGAACTTTGTATAAAATAAAACTTAAGAAAAGTGTTTCATCGTTAAGATTTATTATTGTTTATTCAACCTTGTGGATGATTTTGTGAAGCATTTTGATTCTGCAAACCAGGAAAAAATGAAGCTTTGAGGTGCTTGAGAGTGGCCGGTTCCAACAATAAGGAATGGTCATGATCCAGAATAAAACCAGCATAAAACTAGTCTCATTTTGGAACCATTGGCATTATTTATAAACGAGAAAATACTCTTGTTTAAGGAAAGTGTCCACGGTTCCAGATTGGATTAAGTCCCGATGAAAAGAGCATCATAGGAAATAGAAGTAAGAACACCATTTAACCGTTAACAATATGGCCTTTTCGTCAACAGGGACCTGAAAATTTGTTACAGCTATATTTGTACCTAAACTAAGGTGTTCTGAGTAATTTTAAACGTTAAGGGGGTTTAGATCGATTTTCAGTAAAAATGACCCCCCAATCATATATATGGAGAAGGGAGGAAAGCTCTCGATGTCGAACCCACCTATCTTTCTTGTATCAAAAACTACATTTCTAGTTGATCTACGGGAAAATGCTTAGTACTGTTGGAAAGATGGATAATTTTTCTTTCAAAAATCTCCTATATGCACGTAAAATGTATTTTCCTTCTGCGGACATGAACTCTGTTTCCTCCAAAAACACACAATTTTAAGAGTTTCAAGTTTTTCACATATAATATATAACATATAAACTTTATTAGGTCACCTGAGACAAAGTCTCAAGTGACCTATTGCGATCGCCTTTTATTGTGCCTCGTGCGTCCGTAAACAATTTACATTTTCGACTTCCTCTCGAAAAACCCCTGAACCAATTTCAATGAAATTTTGCAGAAACATTCCATGGCCAAAGGTCAACCAAAATTGTGAATTATATGGCCCCCAGGGGCCTGAGGGGCGGGGCCAAAAAGGGTCAAAATGACTAAAATTTCAAAAATCGTCTTCTCAAGACCGATATATGATAGAATCAAATACTCTTCATAGATGAAAGGGTCTTAAGGTGCTTTACCAAAATAGTGAATTTCATGACCCTGGGGTCTCACGTTTACCCCTGGGGAGGGGGTAAACTTTACTATAGTTTATATAGGGAAATCACATTTTGGACCAACATTTGTTTAATTTCCATTGGAAGTAATTCAATTTGGGTCAGCATTATCAGTATTGGATAACAGTTTGATGGTATGCACATATCAGCCCTGACTGACTCCCAGAGGCTAATGGGTGGGGCCAAAACTGGATAGATGGAAGGGTTTTAAGGTGCTCTACCAAAATTGTGAATTTCATGACCCTAGGGTCTCACGTTTACCCCCTGGGGAAGGGGGGGGGGCAAAATTTATTATTGTTTATTTTGGCAAATGATACTTTGGATATTACATGTTGATAACTTGATTGGAATTATAACTGAGTCAGCCCTACCCTCAAGGACTGTAGGCCAGGGCGGGGCCCAAAGGAGTCAGTGTGCTAAAATTTCTTCATTTTCCTTGTTTAAAATCAGAGGTGCTAGTTTCAAATACTTTTCAGTCTTAAATCTGTATGCTAGATATTGAATAAGGTGGTTTTGACTTTGAATAATATTTCTGTTCATGTTTTAAAAACAAAAATCAACTCTCTGTATAAATACATCAGAACTCAGGTGACCGCTAAGGCTCATGAGCCTCTTGTTTATTTTACAACAATTATGAAACAAGTTATGTTAACTTATGTTAATCACATTTGTTGGCCTGGATATTAGGGCGCAAGGGGTCTTTGTGTGGGAGGAAACCGGAGTACCCGGAGAAAACCCACGCGGTCGGGCAGATGGCCCCATACCTTTTCACGTCCGATCGGGGTATTAAACCCTGGCCGCCTTGGTGAAAGGCAAGTGCTCTATCCACTGCACCACCAAACAACCTGTCGGCCACGTGCTAATACCCG